ATAATTCTTTCCTTTAAAAATATTTATCCGCAATACGGCTTTGTATACTTCGCTAGGTAGGTTCATATTTAGGTAAGTTACCCCACATACCTACCTACGACAAACAAAAGATGTGGGCAAGATTTATCTGTTCTATTATTTCTTTTAGCTGTTATTCCAAAGCAGTAGAGTCTATTTCACTAGAGCTTATAAGTGGTAAAGGCCAAACAATGGGGTGGGACAGGGTGGCATCCTCATATTGATCGGCGGCCATTTTTGTTTCACGCATGCGTAGAAATAAAAGCATCATTCTCAATAATTACAGAGATGGCGTTGGGAATTTAATAAAAAAAAAAATAAGAAGTATATATCTACCTGAGTAATAAAAACAAGAATAATGAAAATCCGCAGAACACATAGCTTTTATAGAGATTATTTTTCTAATAAGTTTCTTATTTGAGTTATTTTTGCAATTCGGCGTACCTAGTGTTCAGTAGGTAGGTATCCTTTAGATACTTATATTATGTATTCAACATATAGGTATTACGAATTCTCTTATAACCTTTCTCTAATAAGTACAATTTACTAAAAAGAGCGTTTCAAATCTGGTTGTAATCTTACCTACATTTGGCAAGTCATACCTACCTATCTCAGTCATTGTAGCATTGATATAATATGAAGTATCTAGTCCATCGCATCATCTCATCTTTATACATATAATGAAGCAACCATTTCAATACGTGGTAGCATACTCTAAGCACTGATTGTTATTTCGATATTTTTTAAAATAGTATTACAGATTGGTACGTAACAAGTGGGTACTACGTGGTCCGTCGGCAACTTTCCGTCGGAGTACAAGTCTACTTTGTGTCATATTTAAGCCTATATATTCAGCTAATAAATGAAATTAATTAAATACATAACACGGTAAATATAAATATTAAAAAAATAGAAAATATCTACTTCAGAAAACCTAAATGTAAATAAAAATTATATACAAACTATAATCAAATTTACCTACTTGTGTCTGAATATGTTGTATCTAACTGTAAAACACTAAAAAAATGGAGTCATTTAAATATCAAGTCCCAGTCATTGTGGTATTTTGAGCAAAATCTACCTAATTTTAGTTTATAATATATAGTAGGTATCCAAACTACTTATATTTTGTCCCATAATTATTCCTCGACAGACTTCTTGAATTTGTTAATTTATCCTTATTCTGGACAAGTACCTACCATTGTATACATTATCAATAAAATTCATAAACATTTAATTAATAAAGAAAAATGAAAGCACATGTAATTTTGTGTGGTGTACCTACCTGTATTCAAAACATTTAGGTAGGTATCTACAGTTGCAAAATCTTTTGAGGCATATCCATATCTAGGTTAGGTTTCCTACCTATTTCGTATAAGACGTTACTGATATTCAGATGAATGTAGAAGTGTGTCGCAAGTAGGTAATGTAGGCGTAATGTTATGCATAACAATGGTTGTAGGAGCCTCGTAGACCCCTGCGGTCGTCCCCCAGTCGCGAGCATTATTCATAACATTACATATAAAACCTTCTTCGGATATAATATTATGTAGATAGATACTTAGTAGATACCTATATCTTATATTGTAATCGCTATAAAGACGTAAGTACCGTACTGTGTATGTTAACTATTGAATTGTTTTGTCTTAAGAAAGTATTTAATTTTCTCGGTTTTGGTATCAATAATATAATCAATAATAGTATAATATCTATCTATAAATCCATTCTAATACCTACTTGTATAAATAAAGAAGTGACTGTTTGTTTGTTATCTTTTAGGTAATGATTAAATAAATGGGCGGATCTTAATTAAACATATTAATATTGCTAATATTAACATAGGTTATATTACTGATCTCCATCTTAGTGACACTTTCATTTTATTTTTAGCGAAAGAAAATATCTATTCTTTCCCAAAAAATAACTAATAAGTCGACGAAATGGCGGGAAAGAGCTAGTAGAGGAAAGTGACCAAATATGGAATAGTATCCTAATATGGAATACGTCCATTTCACGTACAGAAAGTTCACACGGTATGCTTTTTATAGCTTTTATATACTGTTTAGATGTTCTTTTGTATGTTTTAGCGGTATTATATTGTATTACTTACATAAATATAAAAATGTATATGTCAGTTGGAAATCATTGGAAAATCCAAATATAGACAGATTACACTATCCAATTATGGAATATTCCATAAATGGTTCTCTAAAGTATCACCTGACTTGATAATTTTTTTTTATATATTTTTCATTGTTTATAAAAGAAAGAAAATTTATTGCTAAAAAAACAAAAATAATAAATAGAATGAGAAGAAATTAAAAGAGAATACTAAGCCTACGTCAGTTTCAAATGATGAGGAGGTGATGCTGTTTGATACAGACAGTGAACCCAATTCCTTGATTACAGCTGTATATTATATACCTACAGCTCCAGATTCTGCAGATTCGGAGTATATTTTTTGTAATGTGCTGTTTTTGATAGATACTCAAGGGAAACATGGATTAAGAGCCTCATGTGTGGGCTCTGGGTATATAATAATTGGGTAAGCCCCGAGATTTATACCTGGATTGGCGATTTTTGTACATAATTTGTGTTGCTTTCTATATTATACGAAACTTTTTTAAGAGTCTCTTAAAAGTTAAGGTTAGTTTTTGATACTATTTATGATATTCCTTTATTGCTATTTAGTTTTTGATAATTTTTCTTACCCCAAAGTAATCCATATGACCTAATATTTTCACAAATCAAGTACAAATATATGACTGTTAATAATTATCACAAAAAGTTTTATTTTATAAGATTTGTGCAAATTATGCCTAAAAATCAAAATGGTATTCCATATTTGGTCGCTTTCCTCTATCTAAGTATTTACGGATTTAACTTCTCTTTTAAAGAAGAAGAGAGACGAGAAGTGACGACTTGCTATAAAAATACCTATCCATTGAATTTGATCAATTATGTTTTCAAGAACTATACCTAATGTTAGAAGTCTAAGTTCGTCGCCCTTGAGTAAAAATATCCCTCAAGTGGCAGACGAGTCGATGTCTGCGATGAGGGGCTCGCGATATCGTTTCTTGAAGTCGACAACAGACAAACATACTTAGTTGAATCCTTTTTACAAGATTTTGGGCTGTAACGTGAAGCAATAGGGTTCTAGAGTATTTTCGATTCACACATTTCATCAGTGTAGTATGGCCTCGGAGCTATTTATATTCAAGTTCAACAATCTTTAATGCCTTGATAGTATTAAGTACTACCCGTCTGGAAAAAATATTTAGCTTAAGCTTGTTATTTATTATACATAAGTACCAACTTGTATGTATTAACGTTTTATTATAATTGAACGCTGTGTTAAAGAATGACGCGAGTCTAGGGAACTCGATATACTTATTTAATCAATATGATGTACGTACTCATAATCACATTAAGTAGGTTGTGGCAACCTGCTATATGATTTAATAGCACCTGCTGATAGATAGGCCGAGTTTTTGTGTTTTGTTATCCTAAGACCTGTCCTCAGTATCTATGTCTGACGGACGACTAAATATTGGGAGCATTAGATATTAATTGGGCTGTAATGCAGTTTGTGTTGTGGTATCAACTCCGGTGCTGTAGTAATAACTAATTCTGTTCTAATTTGTAGGCCCAGATTATTTTATTATCCTAAAAACCTAAGAGTTACAGAGGTATTTTCAGTAGATATCTACCTATATACAGATAAGGATTCAGTAGTGAATTATAACGCGGCGTTTCGATACCTAAGAGAATTCAAAGGTTGGATCGTTGTTCGTGTCACGTGCTTGATGTACAGCCGGCCAACTTTTTATTGCAGTTGGCACGATCGAAATACGTACTTCCCGTCTAAACGTAAGACCTTCGGGAGCCGCACGTAATGTTGGCAGAATTGTAATAAAGAGCACCGTTGCTCCAAGCAACGCTATCTGTGGGAAGCTACTTTCTTTATATTTTTATACTTTCTTTTTGCTTTTATATACTTTTCTTTTTACGCCCCCGTCGGGGATGGCGACGTGACACTGATATTTTCAAAGAAAAATCCGAAATGTGTCGGTGACATGTTAGTAGTTTTGGAGCTTTTAGTTTTGGAGTACCTACCTATACTGTAGTTATAGTATGTATTTAATAAGTAGGTATACTTACTTTAATTAATTACATACTTCAGTAAGAAGGTAGGTACTTTTCCATTTCGCGTAGAAAGGAAAACAAAGGAGGTATATACTGAAGATAATTTAAATGTACTAAAAGCTCGGAATTAAGCCTGGAAGATTAGGGGCCCGAACTTTGTTTTATTCAAATGCTGTAACCCTTTTACGAGATCACCTCCGCGGTGGGTCGGGGCAAGGGGTCCATGATGATAATTAAAACCTCTACGGCTGTGACATTTATGTTGATGCAAAGATTCCCGCTTAATGACGAGAGGCGGAATCTTTGACCAAATCTAGAGGACCACTTTAATTAACATCCAAAATACCAAATACCGCCCCATGTGGACAGGTAAAGAAGATAAAATATTGTTCAATTATCTTACATGAACTCGTAAATATAAATAAACGGATAAGCTCCCCATCCTGTTTTCAACCTATCATTTTTTTTATTATTTCTTCATATTACTGTGTAAGTAAATGATCCTAGATAGAGTATATACCAGTTACCTATATGTGTATCTGGTATATAAGTACTACATCGTTAGAGTTGATAGGTAAGAAAGGTCTTTAGTTTTCTTCAAACAATCCTTAAATATGATTCCACAGTTTTTGTAAGTGCGTATTTAGATAGAATAAAACATAAAGCAATATGTTGAAGTGATCAATAGTCTCTAGAATAATAATGACATCATAAATATGTTGATATTCCTTATACTCAGATTTCTATGGAAGGAAAATATATGTGCGAAAATAATTCAATACGAATTCTGTTTCAAATATTTAATTTAAATTTAAAAATGCATTTATATCGTCATTTGTAACAGATTAAATGTAGCGAATAGATGAATAGATGCCCTTTTTTTAAGTCGACAGACTGCAGTGAAGCAAGTTACGTACTAGTAGTATAAGCAATATAAAGCACCCTAGGGGAAATAAATACAAACATATTCATCGTCGCATACTTAAATCACTAAATAACTTTACAATTGTATTTATATAGAATAAAAGACTATTAAAATAATATTATTTATCTTTTCTTACGTAGAGTTAAGTACGTAGAGAAGTCAATGTGAATATGTTAAATGTAGTGGAAAATATTGGATAGTTATATTTTTTCAAATTTTGAGACTGCAGTGAATTTTGTAAATGTAGTCCACGTACACAGAAGTAACTAAAAAAGCTGTTATCATATTATAACTCACTTATAATTAAATTACATTTCAACTGTAGTTGTATAATATTGGTCCCAATATAGAGCTTGTGACGTTCTGTATTTATACGAATGAATAATATCGCCGTGGAATGGAGCTAGTGGTAGGTATTCCTCATTCTTTAGAATAATTAAAAGTCAAAGCAACATTGTATATTTTTCATATTAAAATAAATAATAATATGTGTACTCGTAGGTACAATGAACTCAAGATATCTCCGACTTGTAGCTGTTAATCACTACTACAAAGTAGACGTAGACTGAAACAAAAAAAAAGTTGTTAAGAAGATGTAGCCCATTTCTGATACACCAAGATCACTCTAGTTTGGGAGTCAGGACTGTATCAAACTGTACACTAATGAAGGTTTAATATTTTACTAAACAAAATTATTAAATTTTATTTTACAAAATATGGATAGTTTACATGAATGAATGTTTATACAATTTGTGAGCGCTAAACCAAATTAAATAGATAGGTATTTAAATTACGTACCTATAATTCCTAAAGCCATTGATATATAATTCAATAAAGGTATTTCGCAGATTTTGCCCAATCCAAATATTAAAAAACAAATCAATAATATAATCGACAGGACAATCCTACAAATCAATACATATATATAAAATAGTACAAAGTTGGGGTTTTCCTGAAAATAAAATTTAAATGATTTAGTATCATAATAATACTAGTAACTACAATTAGTAACTACCTATATTAATTAACTCTGTGCAATTATTTCCATGTTTCCTAGTATAGTTTTATTCTTAAAATATATCGATGTGAACAGAATCAGTGACCATTTTTCTTATAGCTGCAAAAGTAAACAAGGCTCTATATTTGTACACCACTTCGTCAAGTAGTGTCAAATGACACCCTCGATATCGTTTATGCATTGCCATTCCGGAGAAATAAGATGTCATGCCTTTTGTGCTGTAATTTCACTGTCTTGCCTCGCCATTTAATAGAAACACAGCTTAAAAAATAGCTAACTTTACGTGTATGTCGGTAAAATCAATTATATATAAAAATATATTTATATATACTTACATAGAAAATTCCAATTAGTAATATAATGCTAGCAATAAATACCAAAACGTCTAGTACAATGGATATCCACTCAATTGCATACATTATATTATGTGGTATATCACTTTTAGTGCGTTTGCATGCCGAATGGTACGCTACAGATGCAGATGCATGACATACAACTACAAACTGCAATGAAAATCAGTATAAATTATTGTCAAATAATAAATTACATACAATAGATAGTACCTTTGCAATATCATTATTATTATTATGCAGTATGCGATATTTTTATATTATTGGGAATTATATATATAGATATTGTATACTTTCAGTGCTTATTACTTAGTTACATATTAGAAATTTGATACCTGTATGTATTTAATCTATAATAGTTATAAATATATATGCAAGGCCATAGTAAGATTTCGGTATTGTGAGTTAGATGACTCTATAGTTAGATGAAAGAAGCATCTCTGCAGATAGATACTTCTATGTCATACGATACAAAAAAGGATATTTGTACTAAATTGTTATTTAGTTCCCTTCAATATGAATATGATCAATCGTACTCACAATATTCCATATTGCTATTAGTACACTTCCTGTTCTTAAACTAAAACAACAGCATTTATCCACCACAGGCAAAACATCCAGTATTGACATTTTATTTTTTTACCAAGACCTTGTTTCAAGACCAAAATATTAATAAAAAAATCAATTAGCTAACAAACGACTGATACACTTTATTCTGACATTAAAAAAAAATACTCACTTGACAATAAATGTTAAAACACGTGACAGGTAAACTCACTGGCAGGAAGTTAAAAATGTACGATTAGGCTGTGTGCTCTTGTACCTTTGACTATCCACTTGTGGATGTAAAATATACTACTACAACTACAGGTTTGTAAATAAAAAAAATCAGAATATCTTCTTATTCTGAATGTTTATTTACAAAACTGTCCACGAATAAAGTTCAGCTATGTGTACACTACAAATAATAATTCCGCATAATGAGTAAAAAAAAATTGATTGCTCAGCTAGCGATGTAATTTTATTCCTGCGTGTTATAGGTATTATAGTAACATATAGGGTTTAATAGGAGGCGACACTGTTGTAGTTTTAACGGTTCTCACTGCAACCACAAAATTAAATCTATTGTCTATCAAAGTGCTGTAGCTGGGTTAGTTGAATTTATTAGTCTCTTAATTCATTAGCTAATATTTACATTCTGAATACTAATAAGAATCCTTAGAGAAAATCTTAGGTTTATTAAATAACTAAGCATTATTTTAAGAAAATAATATGTGTAAAACAGATAACTGTAATATATTATACAATAATAGTATACATTTCTTAATATTTTGGTGATCCAATGTTTTTTCATCTATATATGTCCTTTTCACTTATAGTTATTGAATTCATCGCTTGCTCCATTACTTGCGTCTGTAGGAATTAAATACTATTTGAAAGTAGGTCCACACTGAAAATAAACAAAAGGTAATAAAAGGTATAGTATAGTAAAGGTATAGTAGATACACGATAAATTTACTGTACAACTTACGAAATAAATCCACCAATGAAAAAACAAATTCGAAAACAGGGAATGATGCTCCCATTGAAACACACGCCGACACGTATAATATTCCATAGATGAATGACAATATTATGGATACAGTGGCACCGATCATAAATACTTTGCTGCTTTTTTGTCCGGTCCCTGAAAATTAGAATATTTTTAAAACAAGTTATGTCAGGTGATTAAGATATTGTACTCAGAAAATAGAGATTTTTGGACTAAATAACAGATTATTTTTAATTAAGTTGGCATTGAAAAATAAGTAAAGAGGTTAAACAAGTAACAAATTTCACTTATAAGTTACAAATAATTTCAAACCATGTATTTAGCATCTACCTACTTTGGAATTTTAAATTTCCTGTAGGTTATCTTTTTGCTTTTTTATGGAAGTAAGCTTCATAGTCTACTTGATAGTAAGTAGCAAACGTGGCCTATATTACTACATGAATATCACCACTAACATAACATAACTTGTAATTACACATTGCCATATCTCAATTTTCAACTGTCTAAATCTAAAAGTCTACCTCGGTAATACCTAACAATTGAGTTGATGTAAGTAAATTCATTCAAGATGTTATTAAAGTCAATTACGATAGATCAATTCTACTAATACCCAAGATTAGAAACGATTGAGAAATATAAATGTATAAATTTTTTCGCATTTTTATGTGGCACCATCAAAAGGTTGTGTTGAATATTCTCTTACTGAGGACTTAGTATTTTTTTATTTCTAAGATTAATTATGTCATGATCCTCCTTTTATGGTTGATACAATTAATTAGTTCTCCATATAGAAAGGTATATATGAATCTATTATACGATAAGTATTTGTATATACTGACTTTGTTTTCCACAACTGATTGTGTTTCAAAATCGTTCTCGGTTTTGTGTTGGACAAATTTATCCGCCGATAATTAATACGAAATTAATTTAATAACAAAAAAACAATTATAATTTTGAAAACTAGCCCTCTTGCTACGTATAGACCATCTGCATCTTTCGAGGACATAGGTCTGGTTTCATTTATTGTAATAAAGCTTTCTAATCTGTTGTCCAAAGGAAACTATTATGTGTTTTGTCTGTAAAACGTATAGGTAATATAAAGATTGAATAAGTAGATAAATAATTATGATAATTAGAGATTATGTTCTGATATCTGATCACAGGGAAGATAAAATAAATATATTTTCTATAATCACTGGTCATTATTCATTTGGACTTTATAGTTTTTAAATGCCAAGATGTATCCAGTGAAAAAACTATATCATATATTAAAAAAAAACAAGTAGTTGTAATCTGTCGACATGGCGTGTTATCATTTCAGAAGGATTCAAGATTGTATTTTGTGTACCTTTTATCTGGGTCTTTACTCATTTAATTAGTGTACTTATTTAATTAATTAGGGTATAAAATTGTGTTCTTTACTTACAAAAATAACCTAACTTGTATTAATACGTGACATACCTGCCACTACCCCATAAATAAATAATGAATTTTATCGGTTTTTGCGTCGAATATATTAGAATTGACCTATTTCATTCATTTTGTCATACTCACCTTAAAAATTCGAATCAGGAAATAAATAATGCTGCCTAAGAATAGGACATCAGCTGTTAGCACAATCCATCCCAGGAATCTCACTGTGGTCACTAACGCGGAGCTCTCAGAGTCTAGTTTCTCTCGAAAAGTATCAGGTGGCTCATCATTACTAGTATTTCGACCCAGGCACGAAGGTCCAAGTCCAGCGTTAGCTCCAAACCCGAAGCTCAACTGTAATTCATATTTGTAATTAAGTACAGGTATGTATCTACAAATCAAAGCTACACATACATGTTGATTAAAGTTTAATGTCATAAGAATGTTTTAAAAACAATGATTTCTGTAGCTTGAGAGGGGTCAATTTTCATCAACATCATTAAACTTTATAAATACTGATAAATGATTATTTATGAATAATTTGTGTTTCATACGATTTTATAGTATGATAAGATCCCAGATATGCTGGTAGTTAGATGGTTAAATCTCAATTTAACCATCTAATCATAATCAGAATTATATACTGAACCATTTTTCTTTATAACAACAAACAATTTATTTTGCATTTAACCTTTAAATATATTAAAAAAGGACGAGGATAAATTTATTACATATAGAATCCTAAAAGTTATTATTAAATAAATAAAAATTACCTATACCTGGTTAATTGTAAATGGTTACTAAGCCTAAAAACAAATAGAAAACTTATTCATGAAACTAAACCATTTTCAACAAGTAACAAAATGTGTTTAGTTAGGACATAGATTTTTAACATTTTAGACGATCATACTTAGTGGGTAAGAATATTTTAAAATTAATTCTTCCTTTCATCCTGATCGGCTTGCTTTTATACTACAACGAATATAGTATTTTTTAAAAAAAGTATAAATAATAAGAGAATGGAGTCAGTTAAAATAAGAAACTATGTAGGTACTATATATATTCATGTTCGTAGAAAATTATCTTTAGGTAACACGTTCAGTAACTTACTATATTATTGAGATTAACATCAAAAACATCTGGACATGTCGATGAAGTGGTTATGAAACATAATACACATAAAAGTCCCGTACGGCTGCCCATGACACTGCAGGGCTGGTTACCTGTAAATGATAAAGCATTTAACAAATAAACCATCTTACTCGGAATGGATATTCCATGGTGGTAGTTGAATGATGATTGATTATAAATTACTTTAATTCTACAGGAATATAACAATTTACTTTAATTCACACTATTTTTATTCTTTAGTTAAACAAATTAAAACAATGGTACACCACGTAAAAAGGTCTGATTATAGTTTCTACCCTAACCCTACTACAATTGTGTGTTACATATAAATAATTATGCATAAAAATATTTTATTAAGAAAATAGTTGTACTTTGAGTTGTACGTAGTTATGTTAATTGATTAGGTACTTATCGTTATAATTATTTATACATAGTAAATAGTCGCATAATTGATACATTTATATTAATTCGCTTTATCGTGAAGTCTCGTATATTAAATGCTACTTACTATACTTAAAAAATAGATTACTAACAGCAATGATTACTGTAGCAATCTTTAAATCCGTAACGCAACCACATTATGCAATCTATTAAAAGGCATTTATTTGGAATAAAAATTATAAATTATAATAATTAAATTGCAATAACATGACAAAACTATGATTGACATTAGGTAGGTATATGGTAAGAAATGTCAAATAAATAAAATGCACCATAGCGCCACGCCATTACAAAAGTAAAAAAATCTTTTTGTGACAGAGGCTATAGACTAGACAAGGTTATATGGAGCCCTCATTGAAATGAGTGTTCATAGCAAACGTTAAAATACAGCTACGTATGACTAATTTATTTAAATCTAATTTAAATATCGTGTATTAGAATTTTACGTAGTATTTTATATTTATTTTTTTTCTTACTCAAGTTCAATCTTTTAGTTAGCCATTTTAAACCGTGATGTTTGGTGTTCATTTATTTAAATTTTATTACCTAGTTTATGGGGAAAATTAGGTAATGAATTCCTAATAAAATGATTATTAGAAACTATAAATACCTACTGCCACACGAAATAAAATATAATTTAATATTCATCATTGAGGAACTACTTATTAAATTAATTATTTACTACCACTTACTATATAATAATGATATATAAAACTTTAGTTATATCCAAATATTCCTACTCATTTCCTCATATTTATTTTAACTAAGAATTCCTTCGTAATACGTGGCTTAGTTTAAGCGCCGAAAACCCGGGATTCAGCTTATTGCTTCCCTGGGCGGCTTTGGGGGTGTGCCGGAGATCGGGGTGCGGGATACGGGGCCTCTTAACAAGATTACATTGAAGATAAAACGGAGCAGATAATAGCGGCAGAGTAAGCCAGCGCCGAGCTCGCTCGAGCTCTAAAACGAAATTAAAATCGGACGAGAAGCTGAAATTCTTAAAAATAGAGCCACACCATCGAGATCCACTTTGTTTTGTTAGACAACGAATGCTATTATTACTTTTGAAAGCATATGAATAGAATAGATTTTAAAAATATACGTATTCTAAAATAAAAGCTGTATCTGCCAAACCATGACAAACCATGATCGTGTATGTATGTATTA